GACACTGTACTAATGGCACTGGACAGGAAGGGGTTAACATCTGGGGCAATCAAATGGTTAACTGTGTGCTGTGTGCTGTTTCACAGTATGCTGTGTGTACTGTGTGTATGCTTTACACTGTAAGCACACTGCTTTGTATGGCTGTGCTATACAGAGCCATACAAAGCAGTGTGCAGGAGCTGACAGGGGAGAGAACTGTATTGTTTCCTTTCCCTGCCGGTAATACTCTGCGATCACTGGGTGACAGTGAGTAATCACCAGCTGGGACCAGCTGATTGACAGCCGAGGACACGAATGGAGGCGCAGGTAGGGCGCATGCGCGGCTCAAATCATGCATATATACGTGATTTTGTGCACCCCTGCCATCCTGTAGCAGTATTTCTGCTATAGGGCAGAGGGGAAGCAGTTAATTCTTGTCGGAACAACAATATGACTTTCTTCAGTGTGAACAAACACCACTGTGCCCTTCACCACACCTCATGGGTATCTCCTCACCTTATATTATGGACCCCACTGCAAAAGGAGGGTCAAATGTGCTTTTATATTAGAGACCACAATCTTCTTCTTCAGCATTCACCTGGTCATTACTGATCTCCCAGGAATAGATATATTAAAATGAATCAAAGAAACATCCAATAGTGTAGACAGCTAGTTTATTTCCATAAGAAAGTTAAAATTCCAATCACATGTTAAAAAATTCATAGAGGCATGTCACAAGCTGTTAGCATACTCGACCTTCCAAAATGGCATCTAAGCTTTGCCCAGCGTGACGAGGTCCCTGCCTATATGATGCGTTGCACCCCAGACGGCTTTCCCAAAGGCTCAGGCTAATCAACAACACCACGCTCTTATATATCTACTGCATCTTGATTGCCATAGCAGCCTTTTACCACACCTTTGCCACCATCTTTGTGGAGACCACATGCAGCATGGTGTTCCAGTACCTATTGCCAACACCTAAACACCAGAATCTTCTGAACTGGGTTTAAGTGCCAAGTGTGCATGAGGCCTTATGGTCAACTTATCACAGTTTGCACTGTGCAGTATACAAAGCAATGGGACTAAATGATAAATAAATGAAAATTCTTACTCCTATATCAAAAAAAAACACATGGTGAGGTTTATTACTAAAGCTGGTGCACTCGGAATCTCACACACTTTTGCATGGAAACCAATCAGCGTCCAGGTTTTATTGCTAAAGCTTAGTTGAACGAGCTCAGGTTAGAAGCTGATTGACTATCATGCACAAGTGTACAAGATTCTGAATGAACCAACTTTAGTAAATCTCTCCCACTGTGTTTTACAAGTTTGTGTATCATTTAAATTTGAGTTTTCATGTGGTGTGCATGAAAACTCAAATTTAAATGATACACAAACTATTACCTGTCTGATTTAATGAACACACCCTGATATAGGTAAAATAAATGTTTAGATCTGAACTGCTAAGAAAACGGATGTTCAACATATTACGATATTCATATCTGTGGTTTGTAAATGTATGTCTTTAGACTTCGCATAAATCAAAGTGTCAGACAAATGTACCTGTTTAAAATTATATACTAGAGAGTACTGGCAAAAGGAACAATGTCAGAGGATTAAACATCATCTGGGTTTAGTAGATGACAAGATAAAGTTTTGCTGGGAAGTTTTAGAAACTAAATAGATAGTAGCAAGCTGTGGTTATTAAGGCTTGAAAATTAAAGAATTTCTTAATATAAAATACAGCTGCATTTTTTTCACATTTTAAAAATATATGCTTACATCATACACTGTAGATAAAATAAATTGCCCTGTAATAGGATAATAAGGTTAGGAATAAGGTTAGAAAATGAAATAAGACAGCAAGTGACAACTAGAAATGTAAGGTCTAGTTCACTGCTACCATGGGTACATGGTGGATCCAGCTGGTTTAAAATTTGATGTCCCGGGAAAAAAAATGCAGAAAGCTGCCAGATCCAGTGTTAATTTTGATGTCAAATTTCAATTTAGTTTTTACTCATAGTCTTTTGACTAACATGTTATTTTAGTTTCAATCAGATTTTAGTCATCTGAATTGTTTTAGTTTTAGTCATATTTTAGGTAACTAAAACCTCCAGTACATGTTAGTCAACTAAATTCTCCAGTACACTTTAGTTGACTAAAGTCTCCATTACCATAAACAAACAAAAAAGTGTATACCCCTTAGAAAAAGGTCTGGAGCATAAAACATATCAAGAACGACTTCAGGAACTTAATAGGTACAGTCTTGATGAAAGAGGGAAAAGGGGAGACATGGATTAAACCTTTAAATACGTCAAGGGGGTGAATAAGGTTCAGGAGGGCAGTATGTTCAATATGAAACCAAAATCAAGAACACGGGGACATGACCTCAAACTAAGTGGAGGAAAGTTCAAAACTAATCATAGAAAGTATTTTACTGAAAGGGTAGTCGATGCTTGGAATAAACTACCAGGTAGTGAATCAGTCAACAGTAAATAGCTTCAAACATGCTTAGAATAAACATAGATCCATATTCAAACAAAAAAAGTTAATGAAATGAAACAAAACAGAAAAAGTACAAAAAAAAACCAAACAAAAAACATGCAAAATCGATGGATCACTCCATGTTTTCTGCCATCACTTTTCTATGTTTATATTGCTTTTTGAAAAACAGAAGTGCAACTTAACATAACATAAAAAAAAAACCTGTAAACTCTATTTGCTGTGATACCAGTGCCCATATACCTGAATATAAAAACTTTAAATAAGAACTCTGGGATAGGGAAAGAAAATTACCCATTAATACATCCCCCTACACAGTTATTAAAATGTTGAAAATCCTTACTATTTAGGAGAAAAGTCTATATGAATTTTCAAAACCTCATCTCTATAATTCAAAAGATAACAGCATCTGCCCGACCAAGGAGGAGGTGTAACAGCAGGGATTACATCATATCCTCTCCTTTCTCTTTGCAGTACATGGAAACTACAGTTCCCATCAAACACAAGGAATTGTGGTGAATGTGGGTGGGTACACTGGGCCTGTACATGTTGAATGTGTCTGAGAGTCTCAATCCACCCACCACTGCAAGTGGGGCTGAATGACATCAATGCTTCCTGTAGAATGAACTGTTAATAGTGAAATGAAAACAAGTATCTTTTTAAAGAAAACCAAGTTTCGTAAACAAACAAGAATATTGCTTTTTGACCAGTTTATTTTTACTTCAAATTTCAATTTAGTTTTATTCAAAGGCTTTTGACATGACTTTTAGTCATCTGCATTGAAAGAGAATTTTATTTTCTTTCAGTTTTCATTACTGAAAACATGCAGCTGATAAAATCATTTTTACCTATGAAATTAACACTGGCCAGATCAACTTCTTTCTGAACTGCATTGCCTTTTGAACTTCAAGGTCAAGTGGCTTAAAGGGCCAATAAAGGGGTTTTGGATAAGCCAGCCCCCTCACTATAAATGGGTGAGGACACAGCAACCATACTGATAATGTACTTTATCTGTGATAGGAAATGCATAGAGTGCTGATGACAAATTGAATATGGAGAGGTTAGTGTACAGCTTGTAGGAACTAGCAAGTCTGTTAGAAAATGTTGTGTCAGACAACTGAAGGTAAGGGTTACCTTTTCCATCCTTTGTTAAATGCCAAATATGCTCATGCCCTGCAACCTTTTCACAACCTGTCCCTGGCTGGCTACATGCATCACAATGATAACAGGCTGTATTTGTTTTCTACAGGGTATATTATCTAATTGCTGATTTCTGCAATTGTTTTTTTCCAGACCTGTTTTTTTAAATGATGACAATATAGGAATACACTTGGACAATGTGCATCGCCAACATATTATAGTTTCTGTGCTCAAACAAGGATCTTTATATTAGTATCACCAATTTTTATTTGAAAGCTAGAGATTAAAATAAAAATTGACTTTATATGTGACAGTATCATGTTAAAGCTTATGAAATTGTAGTGATTTTGTGTACAGCTACATTAACAAACTATGTTGAGTTCTCTGAATTGCAGTGTTGGGGTACATTATATGCCCTGCTTGTGTGAACAAATCTGTACACCCAAAAATCTTTTTAAGGACCAATATCTGTCCCCCAACAACTGTTTGCTATATAGTTCTTCAACTGTCAACATATTAGCTACTTTTATTTCTTCTAATTGGGGTATTTTCCTATTTTTTAAATGATAAATTTTAGTGCTGGGTGGTTAGAGTTGTGTTGCTAACAGTCTATAGAAAAGCTGTTTTTTTGCGGGTACCTTACTGTGTCCTTTGAAAAAAATGTAATACACTGTGCACCCAAAACACAAGCAAAATAACTTGGCATATGCAGTGCAGTGTAGTGCATTGCAGTGAGGAATGCAAAGACATACTGGGGAGATAAAACAACCTCTCAACAGTAAATGATCCAACATAGAGAGGCAAATTCTACGAGTCAAGATTCAGCAGTCTTCTTATGCACTATATTGCCAAAAGTATTGGGAAGCCTGCCTTTACACGCACATGAACTTTAATGGCATCCCAGTCTAAGTCCATAGGGTTCAATATTGAGTTGGCCAACCCTTTGCAGCTACAACAGCTTCAACTCTTCTGATGTCCACAAGGTTTAGGAGTGTGCCTATGGGAATGTTTAACCATTCTTCCAGAAGAGCATTTGTGAGGTCAGGCACTGATGTCAGACGAAAAGGCCTGGCTCGCAGTCTCTGCTCCAATTGATCCCAAAGGTGTTCTATTGGGTTGAGGTCTGGACTCTGTGTAGGCCAGTCAAGTTTCTCCACCCCAAACTTGCTCATTCATGTCTTTATGGACCTTTGTGCACTGGTGTGCAGTCATGTTGGAAGAGGAAGGGGCCAATACCCAAATTGTTCCCAAAAAGTTGGGAGAATGAAATTGTCCAAAATGTCTTGGTATGCTGATGCCTTAAGAGTTTCCTTCACTGGAACAAAGGGGCCAAGCCCAACTCCTGAAAAACAACACCATAATCCCTCCTCCACCAAACTTTACACGTGGCACAATGCAGTCAGGTAAGTATTGTTCTCCTGGCAACCACCAAACCCAGACACGTCCATTGGATTTCCAGACAGAGAAGTGTGATTTGTCACTCCAGAGAACATGTCTCCACTGCTCTGGAGTCCAGTGTAGCGTGCTTTACACCACTGCATCGGACGCTTTACATTGCACTTGGTGATGTAAGGCTTGGATGCAGCTGCTTGGCCATGGAGACCCATTCCATGAAACTCTCTATGCACTGTTGTTGTGCTAATCTGAAGGTCACATTAAGTTTGTAGTCTTTAGCTATTGATTCTTCAGACAGTTGGCAACTTGCAGACTGTAAGCTTCAGCATGCGCTGACACCGCTCTGTCATTTTACGTGGCCTACCAGTTCATGGCTGAGTTGCTGTTTTTCCCACTTGCTTCCACTTTGTTATAATACCACTAACAGTTGACCATGGAATATTTAGTAGCAAGGAAATTTCATGGATGGACTTATTGCACAGGTGGCAACCTATCAAGGTACCATGCTTGAATTCACTGAGCTCCTGAGAGCGACGCATTCTTTCACAAATGTTTGTAGAATCAGTCTGTATGCCTAGGTGCTTGATTTTATACACCTGTGGCCATGGAGGTGATTGGAACACCTGAATCTAATGATCTGGAGGGGTGTCCCAATACGTTTGGCAAATTAGTGCATCTTAAGGATAAGACTTTTTCCTTTGATAACAGTAAACTGCATATCTTGGACAAAGAGGACAACTGATTCATAAAAGGAGTGAAAGAGGCTGTCTACATCAAAATGAAACAATCTTCCTTGCAAAGAAGTTGAGGCCTTCAACACCATCTGTTTTCCACATATAATGCCATTTTAATGTTTCTACCCTGGGATTAGACAAAAATTCAAAGCCATGTAATTTGAAGAATTAGCACCTATGCACACTTTCTGACATTAAGGATGGAATTATGTAATTAGAACAGGGTGGTTCCACAACATCATAGAGGCCCCATATATTTGCGGGGCTTTTAGCCCATAAATATTGCAGAGATTTGGTTGCCCACTGGCAGGAAAAACACTAGACAAGTGTTCTCTGGGGCTAAGGGAACTATTGATCGCTGTTGACTTGTGGGAGTTGATTTTAAAATGACTGGACTTATTAAATAACCAGAACTGCCACAAGAGAGATAGGGTGGTACCTGAGGGTTAGATATGAACAGGGGCATATCATCAGTGTATAACCCCATCTTGTGGTGGCGATATTCATCTATTTTACCTGGATGTTGTGATTGGTATAGACTGCTTGTGCCAGATGCTGCATGGTCAAGATGTACAAGAGAGGTGACACATCCTAATCTGGATTTGAGCAGGGTCTGAAAGAGAGCCATTTACATGAATCCAGGTCAGTGGTGAGTTATAAATTATTATTACTATTATTTTTAGAGAAGGTGGTCTGAAATTGTTGAAGCGTGGCCTGGAGTGACGTACAACATAGATAGCTAAATGCCTTTTTAGCATCAATGGATTGCAAACACAGGGGAAGCTTTTGGCTCTCAAGTGTAGAGTGATCTGGGAGTAGAAAATAATACTAGTGCCTGCATATATTGGTCCTCAGGACCAAATCAGGAGTTAAAGTCTCTAATGCAGGATGGGGAAGGAGGGCTCAACACAGGGATCACACTGGCAGTTGAGTGCCTCGGATGTGAAAGATTATGAAGGCAAAGCAAAGGAATTGCAAAGGTGCCTGACCTCTGTTGTGTGCATCTCATCCACCATATCAATCCCAAAAATACAAAAAATACAAAAATTAACAAAAAATTTTGAAAATACAAATAAAAATGTACAAATACCACAAGTAAAATAAAATAAAATAATATATGGCTGGAAATCTTTACTTGATTGTACGTGTGCTATTGCACTGCAAAGAGCTTGGATAAATTTGGGTTTGAACCAATGGACTTGGAGGTGGTTATAGTATAGCTTGATGTGCAGCTCTACATGGTTGTGCTGATGCCTGCAGCCATTTGGAACTACAAGATGCAGACACTGTACAATATTTGTAGCTATTGTCTCTCAAATATTTCATGATAACATCTTGCTTGTCTTTCTCTTTTTTATTAAGGCCTAATAAAGCTGATTATATACTGTCCAGCCACTTTACAAATTTTATGGCTATTATATTGCAAATAATATGCTTAAATGTCTATTTCAAGATAAAGCCTGCCTCGTCTCTCCCTTTTGAATTGTGGCCTAACCAACCTACTTACATACTGTCTACCCACCGTATAATATATGTGGCTATTGTCTCTGAAAATAATACATTCTGATTGGTATTTCCATATAAAAACTGCCTCACCTATCCTTCTTGAATTGCAGCTTAATCAAGCTGCTTACATACTATCCAACCACTGAACCATATTTGTGGTTATTGTTTCTCAGATGCTAGTCAAAGTATACCAAACACATGCCTGAAGACTATATATTGACATTTTTTGATAGTAACATTAAACCCAAACTGCAGTATATAATTAAGTGGCCAAAAAAGATATATCAAGAGGCACACTATTCCATTTAAAGAGAATATCCATACAACAAACCTAAGATCAGCTAGATCTTAAGAGACTCTCTGTGACACTGCATCCATTTCATTTTTTTTTTTATTCTACCACAAGTTGCTCACACTGTACTGCTTTCTTTTCTGGAAAAAATATAATAGATGCAGTTTTTCAGACAGTCTCAGAGCTTTTGTATTATAAACTGATACTTAGGAGTCTGTATATACGAAAAAATTGCTTTGTGAATGGCTCAGCATTCATGCAAAAGTCACAAATAAAATGTATTATGTGTATAATGTTAGATTCTATTTTCTGCTGATTGAATGTAACATCCTAAATATTCTTTGCCAACGGGTTACTTCCCCATGTTGAACATATGGCTTGGTCTGGTTCTGGAATGGGGTGCCGGAAGTTGTCATATTTAGCAGTGTTAGTGATAAAATGGGTGAACCTGCAGCATATCCATAGAGAACATGAAACTCCATATACTGTGTGCACATTGCAGAGGTCTCCCTCATATTATTTCATCCTCTGGTTGAATGTACCTAGCCTATAGTTTTGGCCTAGCTTCTCTATTGGCTGAATGCTCTTAAGGCTTTACTCTATTTGTTGAAAGTTCCTAATGCTTTTTTTCACAAATGAACAGAATGGTCCTTTCTGAACAAATGATTAGCAAAATAAGCGATTGATAACATAGACTGCTGTCTGTGTAGATAACAGAATGGGGGATATTTACTAAAACTGGAGCGTGCAAAATCTGGTGCAGCTCTAAATAGAAACCAGCTTTCAGGTTTTATTGTCAAAGCTTAACTGGACAAGATGAAGTTAGAAGCTGATTGACTACCATGCACAGCTTCACCATATTCTGACTGCTCCAGTTTTAGTAAGACGCCCCCAATTTGTTGCTTGAAGATATATTCATTGTGATACATAATACTAATGATGGGTGTTGTACACACAGCTAAATACATAGTTGAATTACATGTATGTTTACTATTTTATTAGCTGAAGGATTTGTAATTCTGTGCAGCCGATCTCTTGATTTGTGCATGCAGTTGCAAGAAAAAGTATGTGAACCCTTTGGGATTACATGGAGTTTTGCATGAATTGGGCATAAAATGTGCTCTGAACATCATCTAAGTCACAACAATAGAAGAACACAGTCTGCTGAACAGAATACTACACAAACATTAGATGTTGCCATGGTTTAATTGCACATAACATGTAAACATTCACAGTGCAGGGAGGAAAAAGTATGTGAACCTTTGGACTTCATAACTGGTTGACCCTCCTTTGCCAGCAATAACCTCAACCAAACGTTTCCTGTAGTTGCAGATCAGACCTGCACAATGATCTGGAGTAATTTTGGACCACTCCTCTTCACAAAACTGTTTCAGTGTAGCAATATTCTTGGGGTGTCTGGTGTGAATCACTCTCTTAAGGTCATGCCACAGCATTTCAATCGGGTTGAGGTAAGGACTCTGACTGGGCCACTCCAGAAGGCGTATTCTGTGCTGTTGCAGCCATTGTTTTGTTGAATTACTTGTATGCTTTGGGTCATTGTTCTGTTGCATCACCCATCCTCTGCAGAGCTTCAGTTGGCGGGCAGATGGTCATATGTTTTCCTGCAAAATGTCTTGATAAACTCTGGAATTCATTTTCCCATCAATGACAACAATCCGTCCAGGCCCTGAGGCAGCAAAGCAGCCCCAAAACATGATGCTCCCTCCGCCATGTTTTACAGTGGGGATGGGGTTTTGATGTTGGTGTGCTGTGCCTTTTTTCTCCACACATAGTGTTGTGGGTTCTTCCCAAACAACTCAATCTTGGTTTCATCTGTCCACAGTATATTTTGCCAGTAGTGCTGTGGAACATCCAGGTGCTCTTTTGCAAACTTCAAATGTGCTGAAATATTCTTTTTGGACAGCAATGGCTTCCTCCGTGGTGTCCTCCCATGTACTCCATTCTTGTTTAATGTTTTTCTTATTGTAGATGTGTCAACAAAAATGTTAGCATGTGCCAGAGATTTTTGTAGGTCTTTAGCTGACACTCTGGGATTCTTCTTTATCTCATGCAGCATTCTGCGCTGTGCTTTTGCAGTCATTTTTACAGGACGACCAAGCCTAGGGAGAGTAGCAACAGTGCTAAACTTTCTCAATTTGTAAACAGTCTGTCTTACCTTGGACACATGAACATCAAAGGCTTTTGGAGATATTTTTGCAACCCTTTCCAGCTTCATGCAAGTCAACAACTTGACTAGTGACTCTGACACCGATCATCTGTCTAGTGGTTCAGACAATTCAACCTCTTAAGAACTGTGTACGGTGCTTAGCCTGACGTTCCCAGCCATTGGTCTCCACTCTCTACAGTACAGAGCATATAAACACAGCTATAACTTTCCACAAATAAATACACAACAATTTGGAGAGGAAGGGATCCTTATTAGGTCTTTTGGCGGAACCTCCATTTCTGGGGAAGCCCTGAGGAAGTCACATGGTACTGTGACGCAACACGTAGGCCCGACGTAGTGACGTACTTCCGGCGTGGCGGCCATCTTGGTACACCTTTTCTTACCCTGTACACACCCATGCAGATAACATCCAAAAGCATGTGGTAGGAGCCTTGATTTATACTAATGTAAGTGCGCATTCTATTTTACCACACTTTGGCAATAAACATATTGCGCTATGGGAGTTTTGTGTTTATGTTACATGTGAGTGGTTAGCGCAGTATGTGATCCTGCCTGGAGAAGGAGTTTATTATTGGAGTCCTGATCCCTAGAGGGAGATCCGCATATATTGGGAGCTGTCATTTGGAGTGATACTAACCTGGAGGATCTGTGTGTGAGGGATCCTATAAAAACGCTTTGACTCGCAAGGGTCGAGTCTGTAAGGTGAGAGGCTAATTCAGCCGGTGATCGGATGATTTTTTATACAGCTATCAACTCACGTTTTTTCACACGGATATCAGCACGAGTTATTTTGTTCACTGGAGTATGATTATTGAAAGTTGGACTTTAAAAACGCATGTAAATATATTATTGTGTGTA